TCGGTCGAAGAGGTCTCGCTCATCAAGGCTGGTGGGCTGGTACTTGGGGTCAAGGACCTGTTTCAATCCGTGAGTGCGGCAAGTAGCTTCTAGATTACGACGGTAGCTATCCCATTGCTTATCATCAGACAAAGTTGGATAGAGGTTGGCATCTAGTTTAATGCCCCGATCAAATTCCTCAGCTGGTGATCGTCTGGATGGCTTGGAGACAAGAGGTTGTGGGATGGTGCGGCTGCGGAACACGATGAATGCACTGGAGGCCCTGTATGTATCAAAATCATCAGGATCAATGAGGATACAGTTAGACAGGGTGACTGGATCCTTGAGCACAGTTTCGCGGTGGTAGACGTTGGATCGCTTACTTCTAACACAATTCGCTTCCTAACACATCACACTAGTATAATATCAAAAAAAGTGGAGATGCGAGATGAATCCAAACGGTCAAAATCCACCAAAAAGTATGATGAATTTGATTTCACCATGATGGTAAGCTTTGAGGCACTTGCAGTTATCACCGACTGCAAGAAAATTGATGCACAGCTGACAGTAGTTGTATCTTTACATAAGCTATCCTGTCTCTATGACGTGATCTGGCCTCGTTTTTTTCTTTGGTTCCCAAAATGACCACTGAAGCCAACCATCAACGTCCAAAATGAAGAATTATTATGGTTTTGGGAGCCCACGAAGTCTCAAGGCACCAAGTACTTGAAAATTCCAGCAGAGGTTGCTTCTGGCGTTATAATGGAGGTCTTGGAATCATCTGGTGGTCGATATCAAGGTTTCATTGTGCATATTCTCCATCGAGTTCATCAAGTGGCAAAATTCGTCAAAAACACATCTATGCCATGGCATGGGCCCCACAAGAAGAATAGGTGGATTCAGATGCTACGGCAGGCACTTTTGATATTTATACTACGCCATGAGCCATGATTCAATTTAGGTGTTACCCCAATCATGCCACAATCAACAAGCGTTGTTAGAATTGTTTCGGCCAGCCTGCCCTTTGGGGTCCACAGAGGGCCACACATGCAGAGATCGCCGAGCTTCAAGGTATATTATGGTATATTGGTATCTGATACAACGACAGAGCAAAACCAGACCAACAAATCTCATTTCTGCCGCATCATTGACTCCTCAGAAGTCAAGTTCAACAGTTGTGAAACATCTATTTTCAACGAAAGATGAAAACAATGGAAAGGCAAGATCGTTGTACGAAGATGCTGAGGAAAGAGTGATTGACTACATCCAAGCTTATGGAATGAAGTGTTACAAAGACATGGTGAAATTGAATTGGATGTAGTCAATCACTCTTTCTTTGGCATCTTTGTATGACGATCTTGCCTTTCCATTGTTTTCATCTTTTGTTGAAAATAGATGTTTCAAAACTGTTGAACTTGGGTGGCTCTTGACTTTCTGAGGAGTCACACATTCTCTTCCACCACCGGATGAAGAACGTCCCATCGTCAACAAATCACTCACTCCTTTGTAGATAAGTCACTTTTGTGATTGAATCATCAATTCAAGCCAAACATTAATCAAATAGGAACAATTTCACTTAAAGTATAGTCAATTACAAATTTAGATTGCAGAGAGTTTGTTCTGAGCGCTAAAGGCACTCATGATTCAACTTCTACAAAGATTCTGTTTTGAATTCAGTACTTTGGGACATCTTGTATTATTCCGTACACAACATCAATATCCCACTTGTATAGGGTCATTCCCTTTTCATGTGGATATAGATTGTCTGGCAGACTTGTGTCGAATCCTGGCATCACGATCAAAGTCCAATTGTGCGTGTCAAAATGTTGTACTTGAATAGTTTTTTTGAACATAAAAACTCATATTTTGTCATATCCCAACACCCAGCATCACTGGCACCTGTTCCTATTGTAGACAATCCATAGCCAATGTAGATTTGAGCTCAGATTTACTCCAGAGGTAGCTAGAGCATTGAGGCTTTCATTACCACTACCAAGTTGATTATCTGTCAACTTGAGCCCTATGCCCTTAACATGCATTATCTGAAACAGTAGGTATAACGTTTTAAAGAAGAAATCCCCCAAAATTCCCCATGGTCTGCCCTTTTTGCGGCAGGCCTTGTCCTTTTCGATAGTTCCTTGTCCTTTTTTCACAAGGTGCCCCCCCCTCTTTGGACATTCCTTTGGACGGAATGACACACAAGAGTCATAATGTCAACCAAGAGACATCCTTTGACCACCATGAGACATTGGTTGTCAGGTCCTTTTTTTCAAACGGTCATAGTTGTCCACCACATCGCAACAAGGTGACCTTTTTTCACAGTACATAAACAAAACGGGGATTGATTAGCATTTTAACACTCCCCAGATTCCTTCTAGTGGAACTCCGTTGTCATGGAGACCTACTGTAACAGTGCCGCCACCTTGAGTTGGAATCTGCATGAGCTGCATTCCAGAAGGAACTTGCATCATTTGATTACCTGTAGTACCAGCAAGTCGCAAAGGTGTGTTAACGCTTCCCGCAACACTTGATGCTCCACTTGTGGACGCTGAAGCTCCAGGAACTATAGCTGGAATAGTAGCTGGGACAGTTGCTCCAATCTGATTAAGATTGAGCTTCTTCCCATAGTCGACATATTGATCTTGATTCTTCCATTGGGTCTTTGGTAGCAGTCTGTCTGGGCATTTTGGAGACATATGGTCTTTGTTGCCACATACATAACATGCTGCCTTCTTTCCATCCTTTGGTTTACCCTTTCCTTTTCCTTTGCCTTTACCTTTATTAGGTTGGTCTTTTCCTTGGTAGAGGTTCACTCCCGGATTTTTACTCACTTCCATGTGAATTTTCAACATATCTTGTGCTTTGCTGACCGTCTTTGGATAATAATCCACTTCTCTGCAATAGTTCGTCTGAAGATCCAGCATCAGAGGAGCTGTTCTTGTTCGATCGCTGTTGCATAGAAATCCTGTTGCCAGAACGGCTTCAAAGATATCATCCTTGAACTTGTTTTGAGCAGCAGTATCGGTGCTAGCAATAGCAGCATACGCTTTCGTCTTGACTGCAAAATCTCGGAACCAGGCCACGCCATATAGATCTTGCAGGACTTCAGCCTGTCTCAAGAATTGTTCCTTGCAATGCATCAAGTTTTTGTTTGTTCCTTGTTTCATAGCAAAGAACTTTTGATTTGCTTCCCAGAAATCCAAGAAATTATACTCAGCATCAGCACTCTTCTTCATGAATCGTTCAATACGTTTCAAGAGTTTGATCGGATCTTCAAGAGTAGTCGTGAAATCGGCTTCACCTCAAAGCTTGATATCCATCGCCTTTGTCACAGACTTCAGAATGATGTTTGATTTGACGGTTCTCTTGTTTGTCACAAAGTAGGCTGATTTTCGCATGTTCTTGTCGAGCTTTGCAGAATAGAGAATCTTTTTTTGGGCCATCTCTGTTTCTCTTGCAACAGTTTCAGTTTGAGTTGGAGCGTTCAATCTTGGAGCGATCGCATTGAAGTTGATCGACTTTCCATCTTGGATTGATTTCACCATGTCTTCGGAACATTTCATTCCAGAAGCTTGGATATAGTCAATCACTCTTTCTTTGGCATCTTTGTACGGCAATCTTGCCTTTCCATTGTCTTCATCTTTTGTTGAAAATAGATGTTTCACAACTGTTGAACTTTGATTGCTCTTGACCTTCTGAGGAGTCACACGTCCTCTTCCACGTCCCATCATCAACCAATCACTCACTCCTTTGTAGATAAGGCAGTGCTGTTCTTGACGTAAATTTGTTTTGTTGCCTTTTGTGATTGAATGTTAGAATAGAGCAAAATGTGCTCTATTGTGAGTGCCTTTAGCGCTCAGAACAAACTGTGTGCAATCTAAATTTGTCGTTGACTGTACAACACTTTCACAACAATAGTTCTCCTGTGTCTAGGTATACTTTGAGTGAAATTGTTCCTATTTGATTAATATTTGGCTTGATTGATGATTCAATCACAAAAGTCAGTTCAACGATTTTCCCTTGGAAAATCCCTTGTTTACAGAACTCGATTCGACTTCTACAAGG